TCATCATCATCATCATCATCATCATCATCATCATCATCATCATCATCATCATCATCATCATCATCATGTAACCAATCTATTTCCATTTGTCCACACACCCACCCACACACACACACACACCCGTGCGTGCACAATTGCTTCTCTCGGCCTCTTTTCTCCGGTGCTCGGCTGCAGCTGCAGCATGCTGCAGCTGCGCTGCCAGGTTTCAAGGCATTGCGTATCCCTTACTGCTGGTCCCGAAGGCCTCTTGCCTTGCTCCTCTTCCAGGCGGGCCGGGTCCGGCACCCGGGGGTTGGAGGGCTGTGTGCCCTAGGGAATAGCCTAACAATGTAAAACGATGTAAAAAGGCACATATATGACACCAGGTCATAAGGCTTGTTGGGTGTCTAAAAGGCACTCTAGATCTGTAAATCTGGTTTGTTGAGTACTTGTCCTGTTCTCAGTGGGTTTGAATATGTTTGAATTGTATAGCGTATACCCAATTTTGGCTCTTTGGTTGCTTCTATATTGTTACATTTGGGTAGGGTGCTAGGTAAAGGCGGAAAAGATATGAGATGTTTGGTTCTATACCTCTCGTTCAACTCATGGCCAGTCCAGTCAGAAAGGTGCTCAGTCTTCACCTACGATCCAACTACGCATTGGTTCAAGACCAGAATTCAGAGGGCCTTTTTGAACTGCTCAGCTTTGTCCCAAAGCTACCAGGGTAGAGCGAATCCTTTGGCCAGATTTTGAGACGCGACCAGGGGATCTCTCCAAGGGCATCGAACCACGATGTCTTCCCCGTGGCCAGGAAGTGAGCGCTTCCCACAGCGGCTCTCTTCTCGGAAATTCGTGGACTTTCTTTAGAACAGTGACCTTAGCCGGAAGTGGCTGAGCGCTCGCGCTCTCAGGGGGCAGAAGTGGCTGAGCTCGAAGGTGTCCGCTGGACGGTCAATATAGGTACATGCTGAATTCATGAGTCATCACAAGACCACCAAGGGATATGTTGCAATGAGGGGAGCAAAGTGAGATTGGCACAGACATGGTGTTTTTTTTTACAATCACTTGTATAGAAGATGATGTGCGTCGCAGTCAAGTCAAGTACTTGAAGGTGCACAACAAACTTATAGTAAATAAAGGAACACATTTAAACATCGCTTTGTCGCGATCTTTCAATCAACCTACCTTTTTGCATTGGTTGACCATACCAATCTTGTTGGGACGATTTGCTCGGCCATAGAGAGGCTTTCATGAAAGGCATGCAGCTGCAGCCGCTGTTGGGCAATGATCTCAACTGGGCTCAAAGACTGGCAGTTGTGTGGACAAAAAGTTGCAGGCTGTGTGAAGACGTGTAAAAGAGGAGGCCCGGACCCGGATACTCTTTTAGTTGACGAAATGTTGCAACACTACTCTTCATTGACTCATGATCAGAAGGATTTGGAAGAAACGCCTCGAAGCGCCCGGACGTTCGGATCCGAGTTCGGATCGAGTTCTGGCGCTTTGATCATCCGGTTCATCAAGATCCTTGGAGGATGCGGTTTTTTGATGCTTGGCCCGATCTTTACATCGGCCTTCATGGCGGTTGAGTAGTAGTTTTCACGGTAGAGGATACCCCTTTCACGGTAGAGGATACCCCGCGGGTCCTGTACAAGCAACTTGGTCTTATCGACCTGGGACCGACTACTTCCATTGTTCTTCGCCAGTTGGACGACGTCACGTCCAAGCGCCACTGAATCTGGCAACACACCGAGGCCGTGGCGGACATGTTGCGCGAGAAGAGCGCCAAGCTTTTGGTCCAGAGCGCCAAGGAAGACGAACGAGAGTGGCCCGTGACGTGTGCGGACCACCAGAAAAGACCTGACGCGGACGCGGAGGCGTCTTGAAGGAAACATCAGTTACACACACTCCAACTATGGATTGAAACACCTCTTCATATATATATATATATGGGTTGGGTCGGTTTTCATGAATCAAGAGTCTATACACACGAGTTCGTTTGTGCCATATGTTTCCTCCATGGTGTACTTTCCCAAACAGCTTTGCACCGGAGCTGATCTTCTTCACCCCCCGTGTCTTGGTTCGTCCGCTCCCAGAGGCGTTCGGTTCGCGGAAGCTGATGGCCTGGAGTGGCCCAACTTGAGTATGCCTGGCTTCAAACTCCAATCCTGGACATGAAGACAGATTTGTTTCATGTCCAGTTTGCACTTGCCTAGGTGATTCCACACGCGAAAGTTTGTGGGTTTGGGTGCGCAGGAGCGTGGATCCAGAGACAACATCCTGGTGATGGTGGTGTTCTTTTAGCTCCCGAAGGCTGTGGCTGCTCCCGCCCAATCGAAGGTCCCCCCAGGCCGGATCCCCCGTGCTCGCACGGCTTGCACGGCGATCCCGGCGGGCGGATTCATCCGCTCAGGTGTGAAAGCCGTTCTGCCTGGTTTCTTTCCACAGAACGGATCCGTATGCAAGTCTAACTAGATCTTTTGTATAGACTAGCTCTCAGCTGATGTAGCCGTAAGCAGGTGGCTTTGGGTTATGTTGAGACTTGTACCTGGAGCTTCACTTCAGGAAAATCATTGGCAATAGCTCTGAGGGGAGTTTATTGTTTCTTCTCCGAGTTATTCAACTCGCCGTCAAGTTAATCACTACTTGGACTGATATATACCGTACCTACTCCCAACATGTCGTACATCAAATGGGCGAAGATGGAGAGATCAGTCTTTTGAACAAATCGTCGCAGGGGATCCTCAAATCTTAAGTGGTTTGTTCTTGTTTGCCACTGATGTGAAAAGAGCTGAACTCTTGGAAGATTTAACTTATGGTGGTAGTTGGTGAGTCTTAATTGTGAAAATCCGCTAGGCTTCCAATCACCATTGGTCGCCATTGGTTTTACTAATTAAGATAATTACGTTTGAGCATGTTACACAACAAAAACAGGTCACCTCTATGTTGTCGTCGAACGGACGGCTAGGAGTCCTTGAACAAAAATACATACGGTCCAAGGGTATCACCAAATGTCCGAATGCCAGGCCACCAACGGTTGCGACAGTGCAGCGCCGTCCTTGGCAGTGGTCTTTGCCAATGCTGGCTGGTGCAACTGGTGCATCGTCACAAAACACTTGACGTTTGATCTTTGAACACAAAACGGACAGGAATTTCTGACAACTGATGCCCAAGACATCCCAAGATGATGGCTTCTTGTGCCCAAGCTCGCATCAAGCACTGGTTATCCTTTCTTCGCGCCGCAAAGGATGCATGGTGGGGAAGAGAGGGATCATCTTCTCATATTTTCTAACGCGGTAATCTGACCTATTGATGGATCCACTGCTTGCCAGTGCTAGTCTTCTGCGGTGGATCCATATTGGCCATTCATGCATGCGCATGCATGGTGGTTCTCTCTGACCGACGAAACAAAGGTCCACCGCAGAAGCCACATGGACCGAGAAGAAAGACTGTTTCGACCGTGGTCCGAAGACCAAGCCTAGTGGTTTGGGGGTTCCATGTGGTCCTTTCTAGATATATCACCATCTCACAACCGGGACATATATAGAGTGAACCAGCTGTCGACAGTTCGTATCCTCAGGGATCTAAGTGGTGACCAGTTGCGCCGCCCCAACACACTTCGACTACAGTGTTTCACCGGCTTCGCTGATCGCTTGGCATATGGCTGCGTTGACCTACCAGGGTACTGTACTGAATTGACCAATTCCTGGGTACGGTCGGTTCGCTACATGGTGGACCATGTTTTGACCCATCCCCACAATAGATCGACCGTATATAGCACTCTGACTCACTAGCATGGAATTGGAACATGGTGTCCCTTGGAAGACGACCACAGGCGCCACCATGTGAGGGGGTTCTTTCGTTCGAGCCACCATGTGAGTGAGTCAGAGTGTAAAACACGGTTCTTTCAACTGAAGTCAACTTTGCAGCTCCAAGTTGTTTTGAGACAGGCACATGATCCATCACACTGCTTTGCACTCGTACTCCCTACAATTGACAAGGTTGGGCGATACATACCAGCACTGCACTAGTATCCTGTGTGAGTCCAAAACTGAGTGGGTCAGCTGTGATTCTGCAGTGATTTCACCTGCACTTTCTGAGCTTCAGAAGATGTTCACTAGGTAGACTACTTAGCGTAGATGGCGGTTTTTTAATTGTGTGAGCGATGACGTCGCACATGTGGGTGGGTGTGGTGGACGCTTCCAGTAGAAAGGTGGTGTTTATATGTGCTTATTGCTCCCGCTGTTGTTAGAGTTGTTCAAACTGCCGTTGTTACGATTTGTTACGCGACCAGAGATCCATACAGCATAATATAGCAGTTGCTTGGAGCGATGTGGAAGCTTCCAACGACCGTGAAACCGATCCAATGACCCACGGAAGATGGTGCTGCACCGTGAAGACCCGGATATTCTGGTTGACCAGAGAAAATGAACAGAATAGACCCCTACACCTCCAGTCGCACCTCCTCAGGTTCGGTATGACTGGACCCTCCTGGCACCCACCCCAGTCCCACCTTCTCAGAAGGTACGACTGGAGGTCTAGGGGACTACTAGAGAGGTCACCCTACCAGCGGTGAACACCGGCGAAACGGGTGCCATGACCCCATGAAGCTCGAGCTGCCGCTTTGTTGACGGACCGTTTTTTTTTTTTTCGTATTGTGATCGTTGGCCGTCCCGAGCTCATGAACGGCCAATTTGGCGTTTTGCGTTTGTTTTTTTCACCACTCCATGAAAAGTGGTGATGGTTTCAGATATTGTATGTTCAACCCTTACTTGGGGATGATTGGGCCCTCTGACTCATATTTTTCGACGTGGGTTGAAAACACGTACCAACCAGATAACCTTCGACGTTTTTGGGGGATTGGTTTCCCCACTAAAATCCAACAGCTTGAGGAACAAAGGTTGATCAACTATTTTCCAGGCAAGCCAACAGGGTCTGTCTTTTTTGCAACTGGCCAGGTGTGAACCGTGGGCTTTGCTTTGGCTTCAGAACGCACCGGGTTGGCTGTGATCAACCCCAAAAGGGTGGCTTTCAAATAAGCAGGATTCCACGGTTCCATGATGTTCCATCCATTGATGGTTGAAAACGATGGTTCCACATCGGAAATGTTTGCTGCTGTTCTTTCAACATCCTCAACCATTGGTTGAAGGCCTTCTAAGTTTGCTTGCTGGATTCCTTTCGCTCCATTTTGGATCCAGTAATGCCAAGCGTCGGCGCACAGAATGTTCTCCAGCATTTGTGCAGGGGTCACTGGAGGGGTTTGTACTTGTGACGCATAGTGCCTCATGTATGTCAGTTTTGGAACTGTGCAATAAGCAAGATGGGGTGGCGGAAACCATTCACAACTCCTTTTCAGCCTGAGAAAAGGGGCCTATATATCATATCCATCCTGGACACTAACTGGACACTAGCTGTGAAGATGTGTGGATTGTAAATGTCTCATACCCCAAGGCTCCAGTTGTACATTCGTTTCGTTTCGGTGGGACTGGGGTTGGTGAACGGAGGGTCCAGTCATACGACTGCAGGGATTTCCGCAAGTTTGCGCGGGGGAAGTTCCCTGTGACTCCCGGGTGATTGCAGCAATGGTGTGTTCATCATTTGTACTTGCAGTGCGAATGATACTAGTCGCTGATGTTACTTGCTGGAAAGCTTGAAACATGAACATCATCACCCCATGAAGAGTTTGATCCCTGATCACCCTGATCCTTAAGAATCATGAAGTTCTGTAAGAGGCAAGGTTTGATCCCTAACATGTTCGGTGGTTGCAGAGTATGATACATTGATACATATGACTGTCAGTGACCCCTCGAGAAGAACACGGCTGGCTCAAAGCCTGGAGCTGCCAGAGCTGCCATCAGAAGGAGTAGATGAATCAGATTTCTTCCAGGGAAACTGTAAAGTTAGGGTCGTGGCCCAGTACTAGCAACAGTCGATAGAGGACTATGACCATTCTTGACCAAAAAAGCCATCATCATCAACGGTTACTGGAAATAGGATATACCCAATGTATACAGTCACTAAGTTAAATGCAAAATAGCTCCAGATTCTATCCACTCCAAGCCTTTGATTTGATCCGGAGCAGCATGAGACCTGCGCGGACGAAAACCGGTTCAGAAACCCGCACCGATTGATGGCGGCGTGCCACATGAAGACTTTGTAGAGTACCCAGCAAGTGACACTCACACACTTACTTGTAGGATCACTCAGGTATCCTCTATTGTCATCCTGAAGATCGCAAGTGTGCCAAACCGGATGATCTACTTTGTGCCGAGGATAGAAGTCTTGCAAATGGAAGTCTGGCAGAGCATCTCTACCCATTGCACTGTGACTGTACCACATCTCCAACCCATTCCACTGCAGAAGAGTTCAGATGAGGTGTCAGAATACGGCTCCCACTGCAGAAGCCCTCCATATACTGTACCGATTCCCTTTAAGACAACTGAATCCAATCCGTTCAAAAACAGTTCTACGTTGGGTATATCCCATTACCAGTAACAGTGATGGTGATCGTTCGTTTAAGGCCTTCTAAAGTATAGTGATTGTTTACCGACGGCTGAAACAGGTAGTCGGACAGATCCAACAAAAACAAAACTAAAAGGATCAGCAGCTAGATTCACCATCTCCCCATGTATTTCAGCCCCCAAACAACATCCCCAACAACGTCCATTCTTCGTGCGAAAGAAACACCGCCTGTGCGGCCGACGGCTCGGCGATCGCCAGGGAATACGGCCGGACGGCTCTTCGATGCCATGATGCTGGGGTTGGGGAGCCCATGATGTAGAACGAGCGAACGAACGAACAGGGAGAGCGCGTGGCTGGTGACCCGATTGAATTGACGAGACATCAACCCCAGCCAGCGTGGGTGGTGAAGAGAAGGTGTTTTTTTTACCGTAGATAATATTTATCGTCTATACATTGGAAGAAAATTGATGAAGGGATCTGATCACAGAAGTGCAACTTCGACATCTCGGGATAGATCATGAAGGATTTGATCAAGGACTGTTGTAGGATATGTGTCATGCTTTCACCAAGGATTTGATCACATGCTCAAACATACCTCCCGAATACATGTTGTTTGATGACTTTCTACGATGTATACGATTGTATACGACATGATTGTCCACTTTTTCATGCGATCGTCGTTTGGAGAGGAGTGACATTGGACACCGTCACAGCACTAGCAACTTGTTTCCTGGTTTAGCTGATCAGGTGTTGTTTCTACCCTAGGGCCTAGGGCTCCTGTCCCGTATCCTCAGAAGGTGCTTAGACCCCCCTGGCACCCACCCGAACCATCTTCTCAGTCCACCACGCTCCAGACCCCTAAGAGATGAGGCTGCGCCGACTGACCGAGCTTGCTTGTCCTGAAGAGCTGACCGACGTACCAAATGACTTCGAGTGATCCCCACATGTCACACCATATTCATGACATTCTCACCTGCCCTAAGAATCCAAGTATTTTTTATTCGTGGTTTTGGCTGGGATCATTCCAGAAAGGTGTTTGGGATTTATATATTGTAAAACCCTCATATTTAGGGTCTTTGAGGATATACATTGATTGCATGGCAAATCTCCATAGATTTTTGCTCAAAAGGCTCCATGGACACAATCTCCACAGCCAGAATACAAATTAGGACAAGTGGATATCGATTCGATATCGATCGGATAGTCCAACTTTCATATTGTTTTGTGTTGAGAGGGCCTGATCTGGCCATGGGACTGCTCCGGCAAGCCTATGAAAGACACCGTGCCCCCTCCCTTCCCTCTCCGCTGCATGCTTTGTCAGTGTGTGGTGTACTGCAGTGCCGCCAGTGAGACATGTGCAGCTTCTGCTGCTCAAGGCCAGTGAGGCCGGCTATACCTTGGCTGGGCTTTGCGTGCAAGTTGGGGTAGACCATGGTAGACCAATGTCTAATCTACAGTTTGTGTCTAGACATGTTCTTTTTTGCTAAGACATTTTGACTGCTTAGTTCAGCCATAGAACAGCAAGCTGTCATGGAGCTGAACCTGGTGCCTGACAAGACCTTGCCCATCAAGCACCTCTATAAGCCGATCGTGGTGCATGTACATGCCCCTTCAACTGCAGCACTATTAAGGAATTGAGGGGGCTCCAAATGTCTATTTT